TCACAGACTCGGAGATCTGACTAGCAGGTCGGATCAATCGGTTTCGAGTTGGGTTGCTGTTGGTATCATTATATACCCTCATTCTCATAATAATTTTTTTTTTAATTTTTTTTAAATTAAAAAATTTAAATTATTTATATATATTTACTTATATTATCTTTAAAAAATTAAAAATTAAAATAAAATTTTGTTGTAATAAAATAATAATAATAAAGTTAAAATAAAATTTATTTATCTTAAAAATAAAAAGATAATTAATTTAAAATAAATTTAAAATATAAATATTTTAATTATTTTGAAATGAATAAAATATAACAATATATGAATATATAAAAGAAAATAATGTATATATCATTTTTTAAGGTCTTAATTTAAAATATCATATTACCATACAAAAATTAAAAATATCATACTTTAATAAAGATTTTAAAAGTTAATCATTAAATTTTTATTCTTATAAATTAAGCATACAAAATTTTAAATGGATTGTATATATAAAATTAATTTTGTATTATAAAAAATTTAACACAATTAAATAGATTAAAAAGCATAATATTTTGATCAAATAATTATAAATATTAAATTAATTTAAAAATTGATATATATTATCTATATAATTAGATTGTTTAATTCAATGTTTAATTTTTCAAAATATTTATTATAAGATGATGATTTTTAGTTAAAATTCTATAAAATCAAAACTTTAATGTATGACTGTCTATATAAAATTAATATATTTATAAAAAATATAGACATATTATAGATAATATGAATAGATAAAACTTTTATCAAGTAATTTAGACTAATAAACTAGCCACGCAGGTCTTGAAATGAGTCAAATCAGCCTTACATTTTTCTTTTTATAAATTTTCAATCATTTTTATTTTCTTAAAAGATCTAAATAAATGAATTCATTGGTTTAAAATTTATTAAATTAAAATTAAATCTTTAAAAATCGTCTTGTATATATACAAATATTTTTTATTATAATTGAAAATAAAATAAGAACTAATATTAAATAGAGGATAATTTTTAATATTAAATGAATCACTTTTATCTAATTATTTAAATTATAGTGTAATATAGTTTAAATTACATAATATATTTTTATATAAAAAGTTTGATATCATTTCAAAACTCAGTTGAATCTCAAAAATAAGTATTAAAGAATTCTTATTAGGATTTAAAGGAAAATATATTTTTTATAAAATTACCAACAAAAATTTAATCAAGTTGGTGTCTAATAATTGAAATTTTTTTATTAATATTAAGTAAAAGTCATAAATTTAAATCTCTTTATCATCACCAACACTAAACTCTAGATTAAAAAAAAAAAAAAAGAAGAAGCTGTGATCCTTCTCCTTGCTTTTGTATTAAACATTAATCCACCATTTAAGTGTGAGATTTTATTCCTCAAAATTATTGTATTGAAAATTTTAGCTATATTAATGTAGAAATTTAGTATTTTATAATTTATATTAGATTATAAAATATTAGTTATTAAATAAAAAATTATTTTCATGAGTGAAAGTCATTCTCTAATTTAATTATTAATATTTTATAATTTAAATTATAAAATAATTTTTTAATACAATATATAATAAGTGCATTAATTCATAAAAAATGTATAAATATATATTGAAAATGAATTTAGAACTGACTAAATTTGACGCATGCCTTGCGTATATATATCATGTCAGCAGCTCATCAGCTCATCAGCACTGATTGATGAGAATCAGAGAAGGTGGAGAAGGAGTGGCCAACAAAATTAAAATTAAAGGAATAAAGGAAGGAATTTTTTTTTTTTTTCTATAAAAAAGGGGGAAAAAAAAAAGAGAGAGAGAGAGAGAGACAGAGGAGCAGCCACGTCAGTGTGTACGGACAGGGGCCAAGTGAAGGCTTGGCGGAAGTAAAAGTATGGAATATATGAAAGCATCAATTCGTTCTTTAATCTTATTCTTTTCTTTTCTTTTTCTTTTAGGGTTGTGATAATACTGTTCCTAAATGGTAAAAATACCATCATATTTTCCAGCAAGAAATGCTAAATTCAAATGCCTAATGGGGTGAGTTAATTAGCTAAGTATTTAACATTATTATTTAGAAATTTTATATTTAAATTTGAGGAGGGTGAGAAGTGATTTTTTAAAAAAATTATCATATATTATATAATTTATTATTAAATATATTAAAAAATATGTTCAATTCAAATGACTGGTACTCTATACTAAATTAATATTTACTAACATCAAAAAAAAAAAATTTTTACTTCAAATTATAATATATTTAAAGATCAGCACTACTACAAAACAACTTATTTTTACAGATCTTCTTTATAGTCTCACACATATAATTACACATATAAAATCACAAATTTAAAAAGAATAAGTTATTAAATAAAATGTAATATTGTTTTAAAATATAAGAATGAATTTATTTATACATAATTTTTATATATTATATTTATATAAAATTTCAATTATTTATCTCTTTACTTTTAATAATTAAAATTTATTATAATTTTTTATGTAAAAAAATAATT